ATCATATCCCCCCCCCCCCCCGGCTCTTAGCTCCCCCCTGGGTTTCTGATCACTGTCAGTGGCAGGGGGCTTCTTCCTGCTTTCCCTTTCGCCTCCCTGTATTGTGCCTACATATGCAAATTAACCGCCATCTTGTTGGCAGTTAACTGCCAATCTTAGTTGGCAGTTAATTTGCATATAGCCCTGATTAGCCAATGAAAAGGGTATCGTCGTACGCCAATTACCATTTTTGTCTTTTATTAGTGTAGATTCCAAAAAAGCACAACAACCAAAAAAGAATGTAATTAAAAAAAAATGGGCTTTATGTCATTTTCTTTAAAATTATTTTTTTTAAAAAACAGATCAAGCCAAAACCGGTTTGGCTCAGTGGATAGAGCGTCGGCCTGCGGACTGAAAGGGCCTGGGTTCGATTCCAGTCAAGGGCATGTACCTGGGTTGCAGGCAATTCCCCAGTAGGGGATGTGCAGGAGGCAGCTGATCGATGTTTCTCTCTCATCGATGTTTCTAACTCTCTATCTCTCTCCCTTCCTCTCTGTAAAAAATCAATAAAATATATTTTTAAAAAATTGTATATAAAAAAAAACCAGATCAAATCTGCAATTTCCTTATATTGAAAATTAACTGCTGAAAGGTGATGTGTGAACTTCTGGCCAGAGCTTTCCCATCTTGGGATCTAATCTGCTTGCCTGGGTCTTTCAAGATGTCTTTGCTTCTTATTTATTATTTTCTTTAGTTTCTCATCATGATGCATTTTTATTCTTTTTTAAAATTTTCTTCAAATTTGTGATTCTGTTGACTTTATTTTCTTTCCAAACTTTTCTGATTTTTCCATCAAAAAGAGAAAATACACAGCTCTTTCATCTGTTTCAATAAGCTCCCTTCCTTTGCTTGGTAGTCCTAACTCTTTAAGTACTCATATCTAGGATTAATTGTCCAGTGACCAGTGTCCGGGCAAAGAATGATCTATTCTGGGCACCCTGCAGGGCCAGGCACTGCCCTAGAGAATGTGACGCTTTCCGAACAAAGGTTAGAACCCCAAACAGTTGTGGTTTGCTCCAGCAGATTTCCTCACTGTCCTTCCCCCTGCTCCTTCCCACCAGAACCCTCCCAGGCTGTCCCCTCCAGGGCTGCCGGTGCAGTGAAAGCTGTGTGCTGGTGACACAGGTGTCACGGACAGGTGTGACTCTGGTCTGGAACAGTAAGCTGGATCCTAAAACCTTGCCTGCAATGGTTGTGTCCCCACTGGCATTTCAGCTCTGCCCTGGTGAGAACATAAGCAATGACCCAACTGCTGCCACCTAAAGGCACCAAATAGGTGGGTGGTGCTGTGGTGACACGGTCATGGAAAATGGATGTGCCCATTCCACTACCGAATGGGTGACAGCGTACATATAAGCACAGCAAGATTACACCTTATTCTGTGCATGCAGGAAAATGTTGAGTTGCTATTAAGTAAGCAATGCAGAACTTTTGGCTCCCCCAGAATTTAGGCACAAAGTAAGTCTTAAGGGAAGATGGAGCAGGCAGCCAATCACGTGAAACCCTGTGCTGAAAGGACAGGAAATGGGGTGGAAGGAATCTGGAGACAGAGCAGGCACCCGGGCTGGGCCAGAAAGGACTGAGAGCCAACCAGGACCTTGGTGAAATGTGCCTCCCAAGTGGACCCCACACGCTACTCTAAGCCTTGAGGTTTCCTACTTTTTTACAGCTCAAATTTTTCTATGTCCTCACCCCTTCTACAGAGTGACATTTCGTTGGCAGTAAATAGCACTGCTCTGAGGGCAAGTTAGTGGGAAGCAACTAAAGGAGTAAGGAGAGAAAAGGAATGTTTCTTACACTGTATTCACTTGGTCTGTTTCTCTTTAAAAATTGTTTTTATTAATGACTGAGTAGCTATAAAAGAGTATTTATAAAATATATGTCAATGATAGGACCAACAACACAATAAAAATCCCTATGTGCACAGAATACAGTGTAAGAAATATTTTTTTAAAAATTGATTTAGAGAAAGAGCAGAAGCGGGTGGGGAGGGAGAGGAAGAGGGGAAAAGTGGGGGGTGGAGAAAGAAAAAGAAAGAGAGAGAGAGAGAGAGAGATAGAGAGAGAGAGAGAGAGAGAGAGACATCAATTGGTTGCCTCCCACATGAACCCTAAC